TTTTTTTGGCATCAATATAGTAATATTATTTCAACTATATATATATATATATATATATATATATATATATATATATATATATATATATACATATACACACACACATATATACATATATATGTGTGTGTGTGTGTGTGTATATGTATGTGTATGTATATATATATATATATATATATATATATATATATATATATATATATATATATATATATATATATATATATATTTTTTTTTTTTTTTTTTTTTTTTTTTTTTTTTTTTTTCAAATTTAAACATATGGCTTTACTGAAAAACCAACCTTCAAAATCAAAGTAGCTTCTTCATGAAGTCTGGAAGTGCAGCTCATCTAAAAATGAAGAGTGACAAAAATGGTGATCAGAAATGAACACTTCTGTGACTAGACCCGTTCATCATATAGGCCCAAAGTAGCTAAATACAGCCAAGATGAACCTTCCGATAGGCTATCATCATTATGCGCCCCACTGACACGTGGTAATTTGTTATAGGCGTTAATGTTTTTAGAATTGTATCTTATTCTAGAAGAAACAGCATCACATTTGTTGGATAGGCCAAGTAGCCTATCAGAAAGCCTAGCACAAGTACGCATGGGTTCATCAACAAGCTCACGTGAGCACAGGACAGGTGCGTCACCTGCGCATCCTCTTCAAGTGCTCTGATGGAGCTCTCCAAAACAAATGCGGCTAATGTGTGCAATGAGAGCATAGAGCACACGACTCACGGCATGTCACACGTTCTTTGGCACTATTTGAAGTTTGTGGTAATGGCTTAAGTAACAGACAATTAGCCTAAAGATTCAGCTATGCTCTATGCTCCAAACTACAGCGATCACGGCTAGCTGGCACACGGCTACGTTACACAACTTGCTCCAGCGCTCTCACCTACCTGTGCATAAAGAGCTGTCTGCTGACAGGCTGCAGAGGAAAAAACTTTCACATCATTTAGGCAGCCTCGGGAATATTTTGTCTTGAGCCAGTAGCTCCAGCGCGGTGGCACTGCAGAGGAAAAGCTCAAATCTCTGTTTTATCCGGACGCTTTGTTTGAAAAGAACAACGACATGTTTAACTCCAGCCCCAATTTTGTATCAATTTCAGACAGACTCCAGACAGTCTCCTTACGGTTACGTGCTTGCTTGGCTTGCGCGTGCACGGCCGATGGCGCGAGAAGCAGCGAGAGTTTGTGACTGACAAAGCGCTGAGCCAATGGAGACGAAGACGGAGGCTGATCTCCATGGAGAATGGTGCAGAGGGTAACCCCCGCCCACCCTTCCTCCGCAGACGTCTATTGACGGTGCCCTGAATAAAAGCGTCTGACTTAAGCAGTTGCACTGAGATGTGGGTCACTGACTCCAAGTTATTCTCAAAAGGCAGAGACTTTGCTAGTCCAATATTTTAGTAGGTAGGTAGCCATTTTATTCTTCTTTTATTCTTCATCGTCAAGTCCAGACAAGATCTACAGCTTCTATAGAATAATGCAGGCCTGTATTATAATTTGATATAAAGATGTCTCTCAATTTGCAGATTATTTAAGTGTGGCATGATTTTTATGCAACCCTATATTTCAGTATTATTTCATATCCGTATGTCCTATCCTAGTAACTTTACTCCCTTGTGTTTATGATGAAGCCTGAAAATGACACCAAAACAAATTGTCCCTTTCAAAAGCACTCTCAAGTTACTTTATACAAGTCTAGACAATGTGTACAGAAGTGTCTGGTGTAAAGAAACCTCCATCCTCCGGCTGGAAAATAAGTCTTGTCTCTTTCAGCTTTGCACCCTTTAAATTGCATTGTTATGGAAAACCGCTGGATTTGGATAGGGCACACAATCATTGAGGTCACCATAATAGAGTGTGACAGCTTCTCCTTTCACATCTATTTGAAGGTAAAATTTAAATTCCTGGGAAAGTGATTTTTTTGTCTGCATTATATTTTAGAAACAGCTGTCATTGTCATTGCACAGACTGCAAGTAGGCCAATGGCAGAATTATATATATATATATATATATATATATATATATATATATATATATATATATATATATATATATATATATATATATATATATATATATATATAGTTTGATTATGTAGCTAATCAAATTTTCAGGTTGATAATGTATATAAATATAGGGTCTACTGTATGTTTACTATAAACAAAATTTCAGTTAGCTAATGCCTGGTAGACTTCTTCAGTCCACTTGAGTATTCAGATATTGACCTTATGGTCTGACAAAATAGCTTCTTCCTCACTGCGGGATCCTGTAATGAGCCAGTACAATGAGGCTTCAGTTGGCTGCTCACACTCTTTGGGGTCCCTTGGGGCCTTTGTTGACATTTGTCAGCCCAAAAGGAATTTGGAAACACCCAAAGTAATAAAAAAAAAAAAAAACTGAAACACCAAATACCAATGAAACAGGGATGAAAAATGAAAGAAGTAGACCGACTGACCTGAGTTTTAATTATTTCATTCATATTCCATTCATATTTATGTTATGACCAATAATCCCTATCTAAGTGTGCAGCTCTGCATAGCCTACATTTGAAATGAAAATCACAGGTCAAAAGGCTTTTGGTTAGCTTTTCTGAGCATGCAGACTGACAAGAGTAAGTCTATTGCACAATTACACCATAAAGACTAGTCTCCGTCTTTTAAAAATTAGCATCGTTGATAATGCCATAGAAATGTCCAATTCAAAACAAAATCTAAATATCTTTTAATGTCAGATGTCCTCAAAATGTTACAAATGTTTGTTTTTACCGTTAAGTTGTTTTTTTTCTCTCATTGTGGCTTCATTAGTGAATGGCTATTAGCTACTAACAGGGAGGATAAATTGTTAACCAACAATTAATTTCCACTTACACAGTTAGAAACAGCTTTTAGTAATGTGTTTAACAGTGCAATGGAGGCCACTAACCAACTATTATAGAGTAAATATGATATGCTGCTATATTCTGTCAAATAATCAAATAACAAACTGCACTAGTCATCTTATTGACATAGGCATAGTTTATTTCTGCATTTTCCAAGAAACCTTGAAAATTTATTTGGGCAAATAAGAAGCTAACTATTTGTAATGCATGTGTTTATTAGCCAGCTCTTACACTGGGAAGTGCAAATATCAAAACCAGAGTTCATGATAGTTGATATGTTTGCACAGTTCTGGATGGAGACGATGATAAAAATGACAATAATGACAGATATAGATAGGTGATAGGATGATGGCCTGGTAAGTCCACAATTATATCTCTCTGTATTAAAAACAGATGGTGACTGAATTGCCAATGTCACCAAAAAGATGTATGTGCAGTGGTCAAGAAGAAATCCAAGTAAAAATAATAGTAATAAGTCATTTATTACAGAATAGGCATCCAATGCATTTCAGCACTAACTTGTCTTTGGCCACATCCTAGTAGAGCACCTGTAAATTACTATCTTGACCCACTGATGCACAGTTTTTGCACCAATAGCTCTATGTATTTGTTACACAGAGGGATAAGTATTGGAGTGTGTAAGGAAATGAGATGAAGAATCTGCAGTACTTCCTACAGTGATAAGGTTAGTGAGAGCTGCTGTCCATGATTTGTTTTGTTTTTTTGTTTTTTTTAGTAGGCCATAAAATTTAGGTCAGTTCAGGAATGGAGGGATGCATTTGGACCCCAGGCCATAGTTTGGAAGATTTTGCTACAAAACAAATATGACAGAAATTGTAATATATAGCCATAACAATGCAATTAACCTACTACAGGCTGCAAATGAGATTATTTGTTTGAAAGTATAAAATACTCATAGAGATGAATTAGCCAAAACAATATTAAAAATCGTGGAACTGTGAAACAACTTCAGATGCAGAACCACATGCTCAAACACACTGACTGTCACAATAATTACTATAGCCTACTTATTCTTTAATAAAAACATAATTTAATTTTTGGCTATTTATTTGTTGCAGCAATAAGGTTAATTCAGAATTTACCTTTAGAGGTGTAGTATTAATGTCATTAAGTAGCTTCACTATAGGCCTAATTGTTTATTTGAACTTTTTTTTTTGTAGCAACATATTGTGTATAAAAATGTGTTAATGCGACAGGCCCACTCACTGAAGAGCTACAATACTGAATAAATGGCAGGGCCGTTTTAATGCAAAGATTTGCCTGAACTGCAGCTGAGGGTCCTATGGAGTGAAAAAGCCAAGTGATAGCTGCATCCATTCTCTCTCACAGTTTATGCTGCTGTGCGTTGTCATCATCCCTCCTGTTGATAGAAAACATCTTGATTCCAACTTCCAAAAGTCACACTTCCTCAGATTTCTTTTTGTTTGTTTCTTTGTTTTTTGTTTTTAAATAAAATCTAGTCCGTCCTTGGTAATAATCACAAATTTAGGGTGATTTAGTTTCTTAGGCTATTATCTAATCCCTAATAACATTCAATATGATTTTTTTTTTTAAATCTACAAACCAAATTACTAGCAATAAGAAAAACAAAAACAAAATGTTAATATGTAAACCCATAGTAACTTGTTTTCATTTTCATCTGAATGCCCCTTTCACAATGTTTGTTTTTGTTGTTTATCCTTAACTTTATAGACTAACTCTCAAAATGTAGCCTAGGATAGGTTATGTAGGGCAGGCTTTTGTACCAGTTCTGTTGGTAGTCTATCATATGTTAATTGTCACCTGCCCTACCTCAAATTATAGAAAGTTCATATCACGGTGTAGCCAACGAGCCAAACTACAAAAAGCACATTTAGCAGATCTCAGCATTTTGCCAACCCCCATCCGAAGATCATAATTGTGTTGAAACCTAGTGCCTGTCTACCTCGCCTTTAGTTTAGTGGTTTACTGTTACATTAATTCATCCAAAATCTTGAGCCGTGGTTTGAGAGCCAGCCACCCCAACACTCCAACCTCCTCCACGGCACAGGGTGCCTCCATGGGTGCGCTCATGGGTGCAGCAGAGCAGAGGGGGAGCTGCTTTTCCCACCCATAATGCATCAGCACAGCTCTGCCATGTTTGCGCCTCTGCTCCGTGGATGGACGTTGTTGTTATAGCGCAGAGGCAGCTATTTCGTTTGGTTGGATGCATCATGTCAGTATATTAAACGCTGAATGAACTTTCCAAATTTGTAGTCTGCTCCCAGTGAGACTTGCATCGCACCATGTCAGTCAACGACACAGGTAAGAGACTGCGCTAAGCTTTAACGCGACGGTAGTTGCGGCCAGGTTGGACTAGCGTTGATGCTAGTTCCGAGCCGCGGCTCTTCAAGGCAGTGTTAAGCAGTTGTTTTCAGAAGATAGCACATTTCTATTTCTATGTGTGCCCATTAAAGCAAGCGAGATTGCAATATGTGCATAATATGAACGCAACAGTGCGAATGTACGGTTGCGCTGCAAAGGCCTATCCGCTAATGCTAACTATGATGCTAACTAGCCAGCTGTGGTTGTGCGGATTGTGCATATTGTTCCCACCACTGAAGCCTACTTTATACTTAATACACCGTTAGTAGCTTCATAATCATCAAAACGGTGTGTTCTGAGACTGTATTGTTTGATAATATGAACATTTACCAACTTGTATTTCATTTGAAAGTCCATACTTAGTGATGGCGATGGGCTTTGTTTAATTACCTCGTGAAAGGCTAAAGATACAAGACTTCCACTTGTCACATCTGTACGCCATTGTATGTGTATACATGCTATGGTTGTGTTGACACTTGTGTTTGACACTTGTCTCCTGTTCAATAGTCTGCAGTACTTCTGTTATTGTCTCTTCTGTAGTGTCTAATGAGTTATGACATTTTTAAGATCGTTTCTATGCACTTAAAATATTTATTAAAGACGCACTGTGTAATACCTTTCTGGTGAAGGGTCCAACACTTGCTTGTCTCCAAGCAGATGTGATTGGTTTGCCGGATTTGTTCCACAGTAAATAGAGCATTAATTTTGTCTGTCTCCAGACAAGCAGGTGCTACCACAAGGCCAAGTTACAGGTCAGATCTGTGGAGAGGCACGTTAAAGTTCTGTTTTGATTTCTTTGCGTTGGAGTGGATTAATATTGTCTTAAGTGAATCCAAGCAGCCAGTTTAAATGGTTTGAAGTGGACCCTGGGGATACTAGCTTCCATTGGTTCACTTTGGAGCAGATTGGTACGGCCCACAAGTGTCTCCACTAGGGCTGAGCAATGAATCGGAAGATTGAGAGATTGTGAATCATACATATCTGATTCACAATCCAATCTGATCTGATTGTCCATGATATGGTTGGGTTTTGAACTGAGAAGCCTGTCACTAAAATCATGTGTTTTGGAGTTTGGAGGAAGACATTTCAATGTTTCATGTGTGTGTTACGTGGCATAGATTAAAACCCTATATTGTACATGTTCATGAAGTCAATACTAAGTAGATTTATATTTTTGAAAAGACGGAATAAAATGAAATTGAAAATCAAGATCAGTCAATATTTTTCCAAAAGAAAAAACAGATCTATACTGCATTTCTTTGGCTCTTCCACAATAATATGGTGTCATAAAATGGTCCCATTAAAATTTTTGAGCTTCCAAGAACTGCAGTGCAGATATGTTTTTCTTTTGTACATTTTTTGCCTTTGGATTTAGCATGCAGTTGCAACTTTTATTGGATGTACATGTCTCTATCTACTAGTTCTTTTTTTTACCCCATATTGCAGAAGCAGACCCAGGGGTGTACTAGCCCTGGGACCCAAAGTGGGCCAGCACAGTGAGGGGTTGAACAACCATCCGAGAGAGAGAATCCAGAGAATCCAAAACAAAAAATATACATTTTTTTCACCTAATGCAGACTTGATCTTGTGATAAACTGCCATATTTTGAGTGATGGCCTCTAATTTTATAGGAAAATATTTTGTTTTTACTGCATAAGGCATCTAGTGTCATCCAAAAATAATGCATTGTCTAAAGAGAACAAAATATGTTGCATAGAGATGCAGAGAAGCGAAATAAATACAGAAACGAACGACAAACAGGAAGTATTTTTTTGTTGTTTAGTAGAGCTGCAACTAATGATTCTTTTTAGTAGTCCGTAAAAGTCTAACTTTTATTATAACTATTGCATATTGAGACTTTTAAAATACATTATCAACCAAATTAAGGTTGAAATATGTGGAATGAAGGTTTCTAGATAGAATATAGCTGTGCTTCCACAGCTAATGGAGATCAAATAAATACGAAATATACCAAAAAAGTGTATTGTAATATTTATTATTTCTGACATTCAGATTCAATAATACCAATTGAAACATATCTTAAGATTGCCTGTGTCTGAGCAAACGCCTGTGGAACATTACAGTTAAAGCCATAATCACGGCGATTATGTACAATAATTGGTGTGTAATGCATTAATAGGAAGCTATTGTTTTTGTACTATAATTACTTGTGTTGTGTTGCAGTGTGGGGTGGGACTAAAGCTTATAAGGTCCCATTCCTTTTGTGGAGAGCCAAGACTAATTAGAGATTAATTAGTACTTTGCTGTTATTGAGAGATCAACATTTAAATTATTTCTCCTTTTATGTTAAGTTACATTATAAGCCAAAGGCACATGTCCAAAGTAAACTTAACTAGCTCCATGGATACAACTGAGTGATGAACCCTCACCACAAAAGTTACATAATGCACCTAACGGTGGTTAAATGTCCATTGAAAAAAAGTTTAGTTAAATTTGAAATGTCAGTCCACTTTTGTGAGGTGAAAAGCACATGTTTTTGTTTGTTTGTTTTGACAGAGTTTGACTTTGATGAGTATGACAAACCAGGTGCTGAGCGCTCACGCAGAAGAAGGGGTGAAGATGATGATATTGAAAGGTATGGCTTCAGTTACAGTACAACAAAATTATGTGGGCATGAGTCTAAAATAGAAATCATGATCTAGCACAAAGAAAATTATATACGTTGTTGGCATACTTTGCTGTGCTGAGATTTGTGGAAACACAGAATTATTATCTAGGCAAAAATAACAAGTGATTAGGACCAAACTAGGATGGGCATACATGGACAGAAAGGGATGTGACACTATCTTCTTGGTTATTTACATTATTTGTGACATGATAGGTGTTTATTATCCGCAAACTGAAAGTTTGAGAAGCACTGCTTTTCCCACAGAAATAGTCAAAGAAATTACCTATATGGTGTCAGAAGGACCATCTTGTTATGAAATTGATGCTGTGGCTTTTGAATACTGCATATCACTTAAAACTGTTTATTGTTCCATGCCTAATTAGAATATTAGTCTCTGTTATTCCCTGTCATTGTGTTGGGTGTTAAAATGTGTATTGCATAATGAACAATGGTTAGTTTACTAAAAATATGACTCTCATAATGAAGTTACTCTGTTTTAGTGATTTGGAGGAGGAATTGCTCGGGGATGATGGATGGACATCAAGTAAAAAGGTACATGTAGTGTATGTGATTTCTCCTAAACTCCAATTTTGATTGCACTGCTATTGTGGAAAGTGTGTGGAGAATGTGATGAAAGTGTGCACACACAGATTTGTGGCAGGTGGCTCCTCCACAGGGGCAAATGTTGATGTGGACCAGGAGGAAGTACGCTGGACAAAAAAAGAGCGTTGCTGACCTGCCCAGATTGTCTTCACCACATGGGAATTAGACTTCCATTGGGGTGTAGGTGCTCCCCAGCCCCCACACCATGCACTGACTGAACACAAGTTTACGAAAGGAAGAATATGAGCGTGTACTATGCAAAACTACAATATTCTTTGTAATTTTTTCAGCCATCAGAAATGTCTGATGAGGAGCTTAATGATGACCTTCTACAAAGTGATGATGAAGACCAAAATATCAGGTACAGTGTCATGATTTAAACTTGGCTTCATTTTAAGGTGATGTTTGTTTGATTTACTCTTTCATGAAGATTAACCATATAGTTATGTTCAAATCAGTGATTGAATTTGCTGCCTTTTCGAGCACCTGCAGCCAATCCTGAATTAGCGCTAGTGCAGGTTTCCATGAGTCGGGCTAGAGCCACTGAAATGTGAATGTTCATAGAGATAAGAGAATAGAAACCTAGAACTTGTGTATGTGTCCTCAAAATGCAGCTTAAGGCAACCCTAGCTAAGTTATGAGTGTGGTACCATTTTAAAAAGTAAGATCTTAGGCTACATCAAAAGGCTATAAGTAAATAATAAGTAAAGGTACAGTCATTTGAATGGTCAGAGTTTGACTGTAAATGCCCCCTGCAGCATGGGCACGTCCTATGGCCAGCAGGAGGAAGAGAACTACGCAGATGACACGGTGACCCTGGGCGCACCGGGCTATGAGGGAGAAGGAGAGTACACTGAGGACTACAGCCACGACCACAATGCAGACCAAATGGACTACACCGGAGAGCCAGTCGAGGGGGATGATGGCTACCAGGATGAAGTGTTAGACCTTGAAATCAATGAGCCTCTAGATGGGGAATTTCAAGTGAGTGCTCATCTTGGCTTTCTTGTGTTAGATGTCTGCTCCTGCACACATAAACACACACATCGTCCCCTTCCCCTTTCTGTCCATCTCCTTTGTCTCCAAAAGATAATGTCACCTCTCTTGTCTCACTGAGAGGACAGCAAGCATTGAAAATCTATTCAGTAGAAGGAGATGTAGGTTGGCATTTTGGGCTAGGGGAGGATTAGATTCATTATCACTCCCTGCCAGTTAATTTCTCCATCTTGCTGACAAAGTTTATGTTGACAGCTTGTTTGGCATAAATTGTCGCCTCCACATCGCTGTGCCTTTTGTGACCTTGGGTCTGTATCATTGGGGGAGTGGGAGCTGCTTTATGTTGGCGATGTGCTGCCAATCGAAGGAGGTTAATGTGGGGAGCTTTTATCTGCGGCTTTAGACTGGATCTGATAAAGTCTTGTGCAGGTGAAAAGATTATTGACCTTCCTGAGGACACTCCATGCAGTTTTCTAATGATTGATGTGAGTTTCCCTTTATTTGTCTCTTTCCTCTCAACCTGACCAAGTGGATCAGAGATAAGAGCAGATCCATGTGCAAATGTCTGCTACAGGCCTTTTTAGTGGGACACTGTTTGGCATCTGACAGAGATATATCGGGCTGCCTCCTTTTTTCTAAATAAAGACAAGTGTTGAATAAGGGATTGACCTTTGTGCACATTACAACAACACATTGCACTGAAGCTACAGGACAGTCTGCAGTTAAAATGTGCAAGACTTATTCGCATAAATGATTATAAGGTCAGTAGGATGACCCAGCCTTGACATTTTCTCAGTCGGGTTTTCATTTAGTACAACAGAACAGTTTAAAGGATTAGGCTGCTGTGTTCCCTGGGGACGTCCTGTCCATCCAGAGGCTTTTCTCCTCTGCTTTCATAGACAGCACTTTGGCAGGTTAATGAAGCACAGCATCAAACACTGGGCTGCGACCCTCTCTCTGACCTCAACTACGCAGCAATGTACACTTTATTATTTGTGCATCTTTCTTCATTATGTAGTTGCATTGGCAGATTTTGTATAAATTAAGATTGAATTCACAAATTTCATATTCTGTAAAATTATTTGTGAATCCCCAATTGATGTGTCTGATGTTTTTGGCATGGTGGAGTGAATTTCCACTATGGCCACTAGTGAAAGGGTGATCTGCATCGAGTTAGTCAATGATATTTTCACCATCACTGAACCGGGAAGGAGTGTTTTTATCTGCTTGCATTTCTGTATATCATGTCAAACATTTACATCTCATTGAATTTCAAATGCTGTCAGGAATAGTAATGAAGCCTTTGCTCCCACTGTTATGGTAATTTGTGTATGAGGTCTACATGGTGCCTCCCCAAAATTCTCCTTGTAACATTATAATGTTTGGTTTTTGGGATTTATACATTTATAGAAATTAAATCTACAATATTATTTTTGCAGTGTTCAAAACTATGTTGGTTCTTTCTGAATGACTTAAGGGGAAATGTATTGCACATGTACTATAGATGTCAAGATTATTCGGCTTATCAATAATTGTGATTTATAAGGTCATAGTTGTAAAGACTAAAATCTAATAATTGTGACCATTTTAGAAACAAAATTATGTAATGTCAATTCAATCTGAAACACTCAAACAGTAGACCTAAATGTGAGGGGCTTTTTATCTGGATGTTTGATTTCTTGAAGCTGGAGGAATAGTAGTGTTATATTGTCACGGTGTCTATGATTCTCTTGAAGTAGTACCAGGTCAACTATTGCCATTTGTATTAACAAGGCCTATGTGTTTTCCAATAATAATCAGTGTTATTTTTTGTATTCACTTATTAAGGATGATGAGTACACAACGTCATATAACGAAAAACCACTGGATGAGCGCCATGACCAAGGCTCAGAAGTCCCAGAAGAAGAGGAGTTTGTAGAGGATGAGGTGTCTTCCACTGCAGAGAGCTCACAGGTAATGATACTTCAAAATAAAGCAAAGATGTGCATAAGATTACCGAGAATGTTTATCTCTTTTGACTCACTTCTGACTCACTGTCAAAAGCCATTCCTAATTGTCTCTTGTGCTGAAATTAATTGTCATGCTGTCCTTAGGTTGAAAGTGAAGCTGTTCTGGAAGAAGAATCTCGAGAGGAGTCAGAAGAGGAGGATGAGGAAGATGAAGAGTCTGGGCGTCTGAGGTTCAAGTCGGAGAGAAAAGAAGGTGTGGTGGTGCGCTTAGCTGATGCTGGAAGAAAACGCAGCAACATTCCTGAAACCCTCGGTATGCATATCTTTTAAATTTCATATAATATTTTACTTTGTCTCATATTTACTCTCATGTTTCCATTACGTTTTCTTTTAGAACTGTCGGAAAAGGCCAAAGCTGATCTGAGAGAGTTTGAGGAACAAGAAGAGAAAAAAAGGCAAAACCGCTATGGCAGAGGGAGAGGAGGAAGAGGAGGCCGAGGAAGAGGGGGCATGTTGGGGTACGGTCCACAGGACATGAGGGGAAACAGAAGAAGAATGAATGAGCCCAGATATCCTTTCATGGGCAACATGAACATGCAGGTAAACTTACATTTTAACATTTGAATTGAGTTTTTATGAACTTCACTGAATAAAACAATCCTGTATAAAATAGCCTTGACTTATTAATTTCTTTCAATATATGAGTGACATTTATCATTCTCCCCATTTTTTTACTATTAGCACCAGGGATCCAGAATGCCCCCTCATCAACAGCACCACTCCCGCCCGCGAGGACCTCCTCCCTTCTCAGAGCCGGGGCGCCCGCTGGTCCAGCAGCCCCTCCAGCCGCTCATGCCTCCACACATGGCTCACCGCTCTCCACCAATGCATTCCCAAATGGAGCCACCACCTCGAATGATGAGCCCGTCTCCTCCTGGCTTTCCCCAGCACTCCCACCCACAACCTCCCCCTCCCCAGCCCAAAAACATCCACATTAACCCGCATTTTAGAGGCCCCTCGACGCCTGTGCAAGGTAGGCTCGCTTGAAAATGTCATTGTGGCATTGCATTAAAAAAATCCATGTAAAAAGAAAATTTATATTTCCTATGAATGATTGGGACTGTATTTACCAGTGTGGAATGGTCTTTCTGGCTGTTCCCCTCCCCCTCTCTCATTGCAGTGCCCTTGATGCCTCCTGCTCAGAGCCAGCCTAGACCTGCTGTAGGTCCTCCGAGGTTCCCTGTGAGTAGCAGCTGCTCCTCTACCCCCTCACCTCACTCTCGCTCCTCCTTCACACATTTAGCATCCTTTTATACAAGGGCGATATCATTGGAGCAATTAGACGGCCCACCCAAGCCAAATTCTGAAAGTACATTTCTAAACATTGATACATGTCTGGCTGCACCGCTGTAAATGTGTGATAGGGGCTTTAGGCAATATACTTGGAGGTCAGAGAAGCAGTGGCACGGCTTGGTTAACAACTTTTCATGGATGGGCTGAGGCTCAGACTATCGAGCCTGGCACATAATAGAATTGTGAAAGCAGAATATACTGGCCATAAAATTCACTTTCCACAAGTTTGTGTCCCAGAGGCGTGTAGTCTAAATGGTGAATTTAAGAAACATGAGGGTCTGTAGAGGTGGTGTGAGCTGTATGCCTTGTGCTATATTTTTCTAAGCCAAAGTTTATGAAAGAAACTGGTTAGTGGTATTTTATTTTACTTACAAAGACGTTAATAGAAGAGCCATTGTACAATAACAATCTACTAATAACTAATATGGGTATTTAGCCTCCCTTTTCTTCAAAATGATTACAATAGCCTGTAGTGACAGACCATAGAAAACAGCGTGCTCCTTTTTTCATGAAATATGCAAATTAATTGACCGTCCGTCATTATTCGGTTAAATTGTACTCTAAGGTATGTTCTAGGTAAGGTATGTTGTCCATAGCAGCAAGCCATGGTGTCTGCTTGCTATGATGATGAACAGCATAATGTTGGATTCTCCAGCTGTCAATCGTGTTTAGTGTGTGGTTGCCAAGGACACCATTTGAAATGCAGGTGACTTTCCAACCGGCAACATCCCATTTACCACTGGGCACCTGATTACTAGTGATTATCATACATTATCATCCCATCACAGTTAATTGTTAAAGGGCTGGCCTAATGGGGGGTCATAGCCTGAAGTATACTGCATAAAATTTTTGCCCGTGAAGCCTGCTTTTGAAATATTAATCTCTGTATTTTAAATAACTGAAATTACACGGTGTGACTCACATGACTATATAGCTAAATATTGACAAATTAACATTTGGATAAGATTTATTTGATCGAGGCCTAATATTCAAACACAATCTTTTTAACTGTCTCTTTTGTACCTTATTAGCGCTTTATCATTTGAATAGTGAAAAGTGCCCTTGCCCCTGTTTGAGCCTGCAGCCTGTTTATGGAGGATTAGATGGCGGATGAGCAGTGCTATTTGATAGGTATTAGACACCAGAGTCCCTTTGTGCCAACCTGTTCGTTTGACCTTTTAAAACCGAATGACAGTGGCTTAATATCAATCCTGTGTCTCTCTAAGCTCTGTTGATTAACTTTCTATTAAGCGAGTTTTGATGTGCTTCTACCTTTTCTTAACACCTCTCCACTCTAAATACCACCACGCTGCAGTGGAATAAAGATGGATTAAGGCATGATAGCATCTTAAGTAATTTACAATAGGCTTGGAGGAGACAAGAAGCCCATTTGCGGAAGTGCCACATGTTGAATAGCAGGTTAATTTTTCATCAGAGATGTTTAAAATAAAAAGGTAATGCGTATGAAGGGGATTTGAGTTCAATGAAGGATTAAGAGTTATCTGGCTTTCCTTGAAAGATGCATGCAGGCACTAGCACCCAAAGAGTAAAATGCTGTGGAAGATATGAAGCCCCTAAATCAAATATGAGATCTCCTTCTGCCTTCTCATATACCCATGCCTTGTTCGAGGCATTACTTCCAGAGTCCGTTTTACATTCTCTTCATTTCTTTTATATTATTATGCTAATGTACAACTCTGCGTCTTTTTAATGACCATTGCTCTTCTGTTGCCCACTACAATGGTTCCTGCAGTTGGCATATTTCTCTTCTTATTTTATTAATTTCTTGGAGGTTCTTTTACTCCCTGTGTGACAAATAATTCATGAATGATCAGTTTGTTTGTCTGTTTTCCCAGGGACAAGGTGATTTCCAGCAGCACACTTTTGGTGCACCCCAGCGGCCTCCTCCTCACATGGAACCCTACAGGAGCCAGCCACCTCTGGGGCCACAGGACAGAGAGCCCCTCTTTATGGGAGGCAAGTCCTGCTACATGGCTTGACAAGACGAGCAAGCCTTTCTTAGAATATTTAACTCTATTTGACATTTCCTCTGGCATTATACCTACAGGGTATGCTGCTAGCCTTCTGGTGCTGCTCTATTAGCAATTCTCATGTTAAATGCATGTGTCTATATGAGAAACTGAATAAGCCCTAAAAGTTGCATTTCAAACACTGCTTCAGATTTGTTTTGTTTTTTTTAGCTTTGTCATGTCATTTTGAAGCCCTAAAATAGTTTTAAATGGAGACATGCGTTTTGTCTTTTGCAGAACATGCAGATTCTGCACCTTTTCCGGGGCAACCCATGTTTGAGCACCACGGCCCCAGCCCTCTGATGAATGCTAACATCCACCCGCCTCAGATGCCTGGTCCAGGGCACATGAGCTTTGGCCCACCAGGACCAGCCTTTAACCAGCCAGGCCACGGCCCACTTGGACTGTTCCAGAGGGAGCCCCCTAGACCCGGCCTCCCTGCTAACCATGGACAGGGAATGATGGGCCTGAATCAAGGAGGCCCACCCAACCAACCCCGGCAATTCATGGGCCCTCGACAACCATTTGGACAGCCACGCAACCATTTTAACCTCCAAATCCCGTATAGGATGCAGGTACGACTAAGAGTAAGTGACTTTTTTAAATACACGATTGTTGTTGAATTTCCACTGTTTGCATCTGTTTGTATCAAATTGTAGAAATGGCCACAGTAGCATATCTTTTGATTTAAAACACGAATATGGCTCACATGAAAAGAGACATAGACAACAGCTCCCTCTAGTGTTTGCAAGTCCACAACTATGTTGTAGTTGATGTGAAACAATGGTTGGTTTGTGCATTTCCCTAAACAATAATTTTATTGGAAATAAACTAATTTAATCTTGTGTATATTCCATCAGCCTCCTCATCCTCAGGACTTAGCCCATCCTCCGCACGCAGCACATGCACAGCAGCACCATCATCAGCAACCTCCAAATGAGCCTCGTCCCATGATGCACTCTGGCCAGAACTCCTTCCACCCGCAGCAGGCGCATGGTAGCCCCAGGCAGTCCACTCCCCGCTCCCAGAACCCCCAGCTGCGCAATATGGCAAACAGGCAGAGAATGGTGAGTCGTTCAATTAGAAACCAATGCGTTTCTACATAAATCCATATGTGTACTAAATGTGGAGCCGCCTGTTGCTCATTAAAAACACATTAATTTAATGGTACAGTATCTTGTAAAATAACTAACTTGACTTGTGTCCTTTGTTTAGACTACCCCAACTCCTAAACAAGTGCAGACTCTACCACAGCGCAACAGCAACCTTCGAGAGGTCCCGGTGGCTCCTGGCAACGCAAACATTAACAGTACACGCCCTGCTGCAGCTGCTAATGTTAACCCCACCACCCCAGCAGCAATGGGGCTGCGCTCGGGCCAGAATTCTCACCTATCCAACAGTGGCAGAGGCCGTGGACAAGCTTCTGCCCGGGGTAGAGGCGCATCACAGCCCGGAGGTCCAGGTCGGACCCAAAATTACCAGGAATCCAACACTGAACCTGACACAGGGACACAGGTGAGCGGTTTACATCTCCTATTGCTGTTCTACCTAACTTGCATGTTAAATCAATGGAGATTTTTTTGTCCTTTTCACTCAATGACTTGCATAGTTTGAATGACCTTTTTATTATTATTTTATTATTATAAAAAAAATGTGGTGTAATTTTAGACAAACTAACCTCTTGGTTTGTTTTCTGCCACAGAACGTTGAGGAAGATGAGGAAACACGGCAGTATCGTTTGAAGATCGAGGAGCAGAAGCGCTTGCGTGAAGAGATTTTAAGGAGGAAGGAGATGAGAAGACAAATGCAAGCTGGAGTCCGAAAGAAGGAGCTACTGGACCGACTTAATTCAAATCCTCAAAGTCAGAACCAAGGGACCGCTCCTCCTCAGAATCCCCCGTCACAACCACATCCGCCTGTACAACAGACTCCTCAGCAGAGACCCATGCCACCGAGGCAACAGCCAGCCAATCAGGGAGTGCCATTCTCTTCTAACGGCTCCTCCAAAACCCCTAAGGCCAGTCCTCCTGTCCGGACACGGGGGCCTATGGTAATGGGAACAAACCAGCACCCACATACTGGCATCAGCGCAGAGCAGCCACAGACTCCTCAGGTGGCGCTGCAGCAGAAAAGGAGTGCTGCCCCTCAGAACCCAGTGAGAGCAGTCCCCTCCTCAGTGCTGCCCCCAGCCCCACGGCCAGGAGCTAAACGCACAGTGATGCAGCGCGCCACTGACGCGGCTCCTGTTCCACAGAAAGTCCGACTCATCAAACTTTCAGCAACTGTAAGCCATATTCTCTTATTGAACAAGTGCTTTTGTTTTTTCAGCCTGACATTTATTTGATCTTTTACCACTCATTTTCTCTTCATAACAAATGGCACTTTTGAAATGAGATCATTCCAAATGCCAGTCAGCCACTACCATTCCCTATTTAGTATCTATCTAAAAGATGTGTAACCTATGGGAATGACACTCTGATGTCTATGTCTTTTGGTGAAATTGATTTGTTAAGAGGATCTTGCCTTAAGCTTTGAGGACTGGTATTTAAGCCACATGCCTTATACCCTTACCAGACTGAACGGCTGTAGGCATTTTAGAAGGCCATGTGACAGTTATCTGTGAAGCAGAGGACACCTCATCACTTCTCTTAAAGGTTGATATCCTCTTTTAAGGGCAGGAGATATTGTTATACACTGTCCAGAGCACCACCATCAGACATGACATCTAGAGGTAGTTTAGACACTATTTGAAAAAAAATATTATTACTATACTAATTTGAAATTGGTGAATGAGTTTGATGGTGTTCTGAATATTCCTCCTGTCTTTCATATTATAGCGGTAATGGTCTAACTCTAGATTGTGTCAGCAGGCTTTTTAGCATACCATTTAGTAAAATACTTAAGAGTAGTTCACACTGTCTGAAAGCTATGTTGACAGGGGATTTTGTTGCCACTTTTTTTCCTCTATTGTCTTGCTGTCAATGACAAAAGGCTGACACTTTAATCTTATTTTTCTTACTCTTACTATAGATATTTAGCTTCACTTCAAAGATCCTGAAATAAGTCCAGTCCAGATAGTTTGTAATGAATCTTTTTACCCTGGGAGGAGCAAGTGTAATACCTGTTCACCGGGGTTACCATGTTGAAGGATTTGGATAGCTTAGAAGCCCTGATAAGAGGCAAATGATATTTTCAGTGTGGATAATACAAAGCAGTTCGAGACACAAAAGCTGCTGGGGGAGGAGTTGGGGGATGGGGGACACATGGAGCTGCTGTCGCTCCGGTGTAATGCAGCTTAGCATGTGATGGGCACAATCACCCTGCTGATTTCTATAGGAGGGATTAATCCATTTGCTCTCAGATGGGACAGGCCACAGATATGGCCTCCTTTCTTCCCTCTATCGATCTGTCACATCTCTCCGCAGAGTTGGGCCACAGACGACCTTCAATTTCTTCCACATGTCACAGACCAGAGCTGTGACTCTATTTGATAATGAGACCATCACCTTGTTGGGCTGATCTTTATTCTCCACACTCTGACACGTGGGAATTCAGCTTCAGCGTGCTAGATTTCAGACTGATTTGTCCATGTGATTGTCCTTTTCACTGTTGTCTGTGTAGTGGGCACGTTTTTTGGTATCTATACACACAAGTTTCACTTTTGAATGACTGGTTTTAATAATTTTTCAGGGTGAAAAAAGTTCTGCTGTCACAGGCGTCCCCATGAAGGAAGAAGGCACCCAGTCAGCGTCTCCACACAACCTAGGTGCCCAGCGAAAGGTCACAGTGGCAACGCTGCAGCAGCAGGGATCAAATGTACCACAGCAGCAGAACCGGGTATGTCCACTGTCCATGTCCACAGTCGACCAACATGAGACCAAAAGTCACATAACCCAGACTAAGCAGACCCGTGATCAATACTTCTCAAACAAAGTGAGGTCAGAGCTGCACTTTGCCTGTTACATGCTGTGATTTGATTCTGTGAATGTATGCTTTTTGCCTACTAGAAGAGGATTAAAACATCTGCCTAAAGTATAACTCAAACATGATTTGAAGCTAAAAGTAGTTGTAGTACTTTGAGGCTCTTAAATATGTGGTGAATGGGCTATTAATTTCACCTACAATCTCTGCTGAACCACAACTACCAACTCTCAGACACATGGGCGATGTGCTGTGTGTGTTACAACTGAAAAAGTTTACTGTAAAGGCACTGATTGTTCTGTAGTATTATGTTCTTAATATACAAGTATAGATTTTGTGGTGGTGCTAAAAACCTCTGCATGTTGTGCTAGAACCATTGCTCCAGCAGAGAGCAGATGTCCTGAATGAGACTTGGAGGTAATAAGACGGGACAGTAAGCCAGCTGCAGGACTATTGACAAGCTCCAAACACTGTAACACAGAGGCCTACAGCAGGTCCCTGGCCCGTGTGCACTATGTGCACCTGTCACCACCAGGCTGCTCGCTGACACTGACAGGCGCAGGCAGCTTCCATGTCTGCTCCCCGCTCCACAGCACTCACACACTCCTCCTCCTCTCCGGTACCTTCTCATCTTCGTCTCCAGCTCAAGAAGAAAGCCCTCACTCACAAGCATAAATGAAGATATGCCACATGTGTTTGACAGTGATGTGTAGTCGTCTGATGAGTCAATCATGCCAGAGTTTGACACTGACATAACAGCAGATTCACAAAGCCACTGTAAACACACTGAGGCTTGCCTCTGTCATTAACTGCTCTGGGCTCCTCTTGTGTGTGCCTTGTGCAGGTGGTGGTATCAGGCCGGGGCAGAGGTCGAGGACAGACTGGTGCGGGCCGTCCCCTCCCCACCAGACAGAGCCAAAAAGCTGCAGAGAAAGGGCCATCCACTGTGTCTATCGAGGGCCTCTCCTCCTCTACAACTGAAGTGCAGCTCAAGAATCTGCTCAAATCCATCGGTCCCATCGAGGTAAGGCCAGCCAGGCTTTACACATGCACCATAGGAAGCTGTAGTTGTATTCATTATGGGCAGGACAGTGCAATCTTCCTCTGATGTAATAGCGCCCTCTTCTGCTGATGAATGGTAGAGAAAGCAGAGGCACATGTTTACCACCCTCACTCCCTCTTGTGGATGGCAAGCAAATTGTTGATAATTTTATTTTTATATTGCAGATGTTCAAAATGATTCCCCAGCACAGAAAAGCAATTGCAAGATTTTCCAGTCCCCAGCACGCTGCCAGTTTTCAGACCAGCTTTCATAGGTAATCAATATTTCATATTCCCTTTTTTATATGAATTTTAGAATTGCTATTAATGGTGTCACTCCCCATTAGCCTGAAACACAGTTTGATTTTCTATAGTTAATTTGACATATGATGATACAATGATTGGAGGAGGTAATGATTCCAATTACCACACAGGCATATGATTGATTTGTCCCACATTGATGTGTCGCTGATCGATGGATGAGAAGCACTTTGACAAAGACCTGGCTCCACGCGCCTCCAGAAGAGCCATCCATACACAGAGAGAGAGGAGAGGGGGAGAGAGACCTGTGCTTCATTCAGCCTCTGCACAACACATGAGATACTTTGGGATAAGGAGAAACGTGTGTGTGTACATGCCTCTGAGAACCGAGTCTGTGCTCACTATAAGCACTGCTCAGAAACTGGACTGCACATCTCCTTTGTAATCGTTCATGTTTGCTTATTGCGTCGTAATGGACACTAAAAAAGGCATCATGCGGGATAATGGGTGCTCCCCCTTCACTTGGTAATAGACATGAAAACTTAACTATTGCATTGAGTTGGGCTTAGGCTAATTTATGCAGAGAGTAGGACTTGCTTCAGTTTCTCTTTTCTTAATGCTGACAGGTTTCTGACAGTAGGTGGCAGTGTCTCATCACTTGTGGGCTCTTTCATGTATAGATAGTGTGGAGTTAGTGTGTGGATGGCACCACCTAGTGGAAAATAAGTAGACTGGTTGCTGTAAAAAAAAAAAAAAGCTTAATTTGTGAAGACATTTCTGTGTTGATGATGCTTGCTTGACTGACTGACATAACGTATTATCTAAAGTACTTATTTTTGTGGGGAAGGCTGGTTTCCATGTTTTAACTGTTACAGTGGCACTATATAGGCGATGTCTGCTATTTTAGTTGGGTGTTGGATTATGGTGTCTTTACAGGAGGAGGAGTGAGTGGTTGTGTGCTTTGGCATAATTTGATTCTTTTATGGTTGGCTATTTAATAATTGCTTTTGGTTTAATAAGTGCGGGGTTCACATTGTCCAGTGGCAGTACTGGTTCTTCTACAGGAAGCCATTATTGTAAATAAGCTTTAAACTGTATGTTAGTCAGTGTTTTTTTTAGTAATTCTGCGGTTGTGTACATTGTACTTTCAAACTGAACTGTATTTTCAGCTTCCAATACTTTACAGATGTTGCTTCAGTGTTGGCACACTACAGTGCATAAAGGTTTACACACAACTCTATCAGCTGTCTTGATAAATGAAAGATGCAGATTTTTATTCTGATAAAATAGTGAAACCATTTGTTCAGGTTTATTATTACAGAGATCAGAGTCCATCTTGAAGGTCATTATTCATTGAAATTTAGGAGACTGTGGGGGCATCCATTATCCCTTTTATTAATCATGTCATAAGTAAATCAGATTACACTTAGTTTTTTGTTTTCTTTTTTGAACTGCTGTAGTATCAGGTTAACTTATGTAAAGATGTGTCCAGACATACCCAAAACAACGTTTCTGGGCCCCAATTGTTGAAATTCAAAAGTTGAAGGGAAATAAAAAGGCGGCCAATATACCGTTACTACAGGTATATGAAGCCAGTTCCATCTTGGTCAAATATGTGTGCTGTGTTGTCTTGTCAACTGCTCCTGCAGCCACCGTCACAATCTACACTTGGGGTTTCAATTGAATTCTTATGCAACCTGGTACTTGTGAAATTTTCCTATGGTTTCAACAAATCTGACAAACTTAAATTTGAACAATCTGACCAAATTTAACTGCCAATAAAAATATTATTTGGCTTCTTGAGTGAGATGCTACTTGGTTGTTCCAAAACTGGTGTTTTTCTTCCACCTTTGCCAGTGATGCCATTGTTTTGTCTTACATTGGTCAGTGTCAAATTTGGACTTATGGCCTTGTGACTTTGTAAAGATTAGCATGCACAACTCTTTTAACAGTAAAAGGTTGTAGCATTTTCCTTAGCACAGTTCAAACCTGTTTTGGAACGACTACAGCTCTAAACCCTTGATACATTTTGATACCAGACGTGTTCCTCATTGTACCTGTTCTTTTATATGTTGTACACTTTTGTTCCGACTTCTTTTGTGTTTTATTACTTTTATTTTTATTTGCTCTGGTCCTCCCACTTTTGTACTTTTGAAATATCAATATTTTAATGCTGTGCATTAATTGTTAGTGGTGGGGTATCGATAAATCCTATGGATTTAAAGGTACCAGCTATATTTCCAAATATAAGACACCTGGGGTCTCATTTTTAAAGCATGCATATGTACTAAAATGTTATGTATGTGACTTTCCGTATCAAGTTTATTGAAGTTTACGCAGAAATAGTCCATAAACTGAAGCCTGCATGTGTGGTGTTAAGAGATGGTGCAGAGAAAGATCTTAGCTCAGAGAGGTCTCAGAGTCTCATATCACTGAGCCAGTGGAAAGAAGTTTGTGTTTTGTCTGTACGTTCAATTTTAGTTAAGTTTTATAAATGAAACCCCTGGTCTTGTAATGTCAAAACAGATTCAAATTGAATCTCTATGTATCTTATACTAAGACATAATGCTCTTACTTTACACTTTAAAGCTATTTTTATTGACACTGTGCCCAAATGTGCTATATGGTGATGACTTGCGTAATATTAGCCTGCATAATTTGACCAGAATTCAACTTCTAATCAAAGTCTTTTTGTCACCAGGTCCTCGGTGTGGAAGACTGCTGCTGCAATAACCTGCTCTCATTCCCTTTAGGTCTCATGGTCCAGAGCAATTTTTGACCTTTTCTTTTGCAAGCCAAATTCATTTGCATACATGCACACATCTTAGCGTGTTACGTATATTTAATATTTGCAGATATGTAGGTGTTCTTTTACTCTTTTAGAGTGAAATAGTGACTTGGATGTATTAAGAGCATTTGATGGGCTTTAGTCCCTTCGTATAGCACTTTTGGATCAAACTATTGACTGTGTGCATGCATGTGTTTGTGTTTGGCTTATTTGTAATGAATGAAACAGAACTATGATCACTACAGGCCACATTGGACAATGGAGATTTTCTCAATCTGAATCACCTCTCAGATTATTTTTTTCTCTCTTTTTTTCTCTCTCTCTCTCTAATGAATCTAGGCATTTTGCAGCGGCGAACCTTGGAGTCTTGCAGCAGAACTTAACCCTTATTTCACTGCTCAGTTAAGAGCGCCACATTTCTTTTTGTGGGTGCTGTTTTGTTTAATCTTTGCTGCACCCTGACACTTTTGTATTAAGCAGGAGGCCTACCTGGATTTCCATTGTTTGTTAGCCCAGTGGATGGAGATGTCCAGCTCTCTAGCAACTATCGGGTCACAGGGCAGGCTGTAGCACTGGGCTTTCACTGCACCAGGGCCTTCCCTACTTCTGACTTTAAACTGGGGTTGGATTCATTCTAAACGGCATTCCTTCATCCCCTTTCTGTTTCACCAAGACATTATTTACTGCTTCAAATGACAATCCAAGTTAGACTGTAACTGAACCAACTGACAAGCTTTTCTATCATGTGGCTGTGAGAACTGTAATGTAAAAGTTTCTTTTGAAAAATGCTGGAATAATCTGAACATTTGTGGTAACGTGTACATATTCTGCAAACCAACTGTTTTTAAATGGCACGGTTTATGAAGACATGTAAGCCTGTTTCAGCACAAGAATTCATATGTGATGCAGTCATAATAAACTTGCGTATAATGTAAAGTTTTAAAAGGCTCCGTGTGATTAGTTATTGTCAAACCTATTCTTGTCTTGTGCAGTGTTGTGGAGAGACGTGGTCTCTGCCAGTCTTTGAAGTGTGCATGCTGACGTTTGTCCAACTCTCCTAGAAACAAGTAGTGTTTTCCCGAATGCCAGACGGTTCGTGTTTGCAAATGTCAACATTTGTAAAGCGGTTGTTGAGCTGCAGCAGACTGGGCCCCATGGGGATTAGCGCTGCTCTGTTTACCTGCTCGGAGGAATGCTGCGCAGCGCGGACGCTTTTGTATCTGACACAGACCCAAGGTCAGAGCGCCGCCAGAGATGGGCCGCTTTGTCCCTCCACAAGTTTCCACCTCTCAGTATCAACAACTCCACAATGTGGGCGACCTGAAGCACGGAGCAGGAATGCCTGCTCATGTTGCAACAGTGTTCACAAATGTGTTAGCGGATCGTCTCACCTCAGCAGCCTACTGATGGATGGCTCTCATCTTTCTATCATGTTCTATAGAGCTCTTATTCCAGGCAATCTCAACCAAACCTGTTAGGTCCATTTAGTGTTGTGCCATTTATTATAATTGTAGCCTAATGATTCAAGTTTCCTCCATCATAATTTTTTTTTTAAAAATCACTGTCTCTTAAACAAATCTGAGATTTAAGTTTGTCACGATGTCTACAGCAGTCATCTTGACACTGCGTCGCCATCCTGTTTCTTTCTCTCAAGTATTGCTAGTGGCCTACTTGACCACTGGATGTCGCACTTGTGCAGCGGATCTACAGATTCTCACACTTTAAATGCTGTGGAATTGTGTGGCCCTTGGTCCGTTGACTTAATGATGAGATTAGGAATAAGGTGATATGCGCACTATGAAACAAGAAGCGCATCCTATGGCTGACACGCTTGTGTTTAATTTGTCTGCAACTTAGAGGTATTTGCAGAGGGCAAACCTTGTTAAATTCGACATAGCATCTCAACATTTCACAAGCACGCAAAAGAAACTTCAAAGCGATTCTTCGGCCATTTTTAGAACATGTTCCCAATTTTTTACTCTATTTTTCATAAAGTTTTCCATTCACAAGCTCTCATGTGGCGTCGTGTTTCAAGAGAAAGCAATATAACAAATGCAAGTTTTAAGAATTTCTTTATCTCATTTTGTAATAAACATATAAATAAACTCTAGACATTTTGACACATCGCCCTGTTATGAAACTGTCTGGCTATATAGACTATCCAAACTGTGCATCTGCCGCGGTCATCTCTATAAAACTATTTCCCTATTACAAAATATGAAAAGAAAAATAATACATTTTAGTACATTTACAGGAGTTACTTAGGCTATTAATTTATTTACCCCAAAACGTATCTCTTCTGCCACTGAATTGTCAGTCAATGAGGCGAACCAAAACTGACAAAAGACGAACACAGAAGAGCAGAAGAGCAGACAATTCAGACATCAGGCAGAATATCTGCCCCTCTCTGACAAAACAAATCAATCTACTGGATTTAAATTAAAATATATTTTTTTTATATCTTACACTATTTCAGAAAACGAAATGTGATTCGGTAGCGATCTGTCAAAATCTAATTTACAATTCTGTGTATAAAAATATAATTTATGGAACCCCACCAAGTTTGTTCTCCCCAAAATATAACAGTCATTTGCACATATGGACATTACACCTGTCAAGAGTTAGCGCCTCTACTGCTTAGGTTTGCACCTTTACCTTTTTATTTCGCATTTCAGTTATGTTTTTATTTTTGCATTTAAGATATACAAAAATAGATTATGCACAATTTGCTGCTCATACTTTCTTTCTTTTCCCAGAATCCATTAGTTTGTCAGCAGCTCGTTCACATGAGAATAAATTATTCAAAGAAAACTTCTTAAGGCTCCATTCATTCTTTGATGGGGACACATGGAGAAGTCAGTGAAATAAATATCCCAACTCGGCTGGGGCCTTGTCTGTCAGTCTGTCCAATCCTCAGAGCCCGCGGCTCAGTCAACTGTGGGACACGGCCATGCCCAACGGGTGCAGCGCGTGTCCGTCCAACAGCCACGTTCCTAAGTGGAACAGAAGCTCGGAGTACCAATGCACCCCGTCTCCCTGCGCCCCACTCCGCGCGCTCCAGAGCCACGAAGACACCCAGTGCGCCATCCGGACAGGCGCCATGGCCCAGTGTGCCAGCTCGTGGTCTTGTATTACCGCGTAGCAGGACGACAACACGTGGTCCACCACCACGGTGCCCTGCATTGTCACCGGGGCGTACGAGCCCTCGTGCTCCTCAGTGTAAATCCGTTTTACACGCACGGCCTCCAGCCGCTGCCGCGTGGTGTCGAGCACAAACACACGCTGTCCAGGGCGCACGTGACTGGCGAACACTGCGCTCATGGATGAGTTGTGGCCTACGAACAGAAGATGCGCCGCCGTCAGCGTGAGCTTCTGTCCAGAGTCGGTTTCGATGACGTAGAACATCCTGCGCGTGCTTGAGTCCTGGTCTAAGAACATGATGAAGTCGGTGTACACAAGGTTTCCGCGGGAGTCTGCAGCCAGGACCCGGTCACCGGGCCGCAGCTCATGGAGCAGCCTCTCACTTCCATCCTCCAGTGTCACCGCAGAGGATCCCGGAAAACAGCCGCCGGACTTCGCTGCCACCGAGTTCTCTGTGGAGAAAGAATCACATCAGGTGTCAGCAATACACCTGCCACATGTGGCTTTCATAACTGCTTTTGGCGCATTTATTTCCATCAAACTGCTCTGCCTGGTGTGTGATTGCATTTCCTGTCTACTACCTTGGCGGACCATATGCATTTAGCATAATGATGCAAATTCCCTCAGTGCCAAATGCGTATTGGCTTGGTTCGCGCTGTCTGAGACGCACAGAGAAAGAGGGAGAGCACTGAAAGCCTGGGCTCATCTATTCTTAATTAAAAAACCCAATAAGAGCAGCCATTGTCATTCTAAATGAGCTTGTGGATCCGCGCTTCTCTTGGTAAAGAACACTTACGCCTTTCCCAGCTTCTTTGCCCATATTTACTCAGGTGCAGAAACCTCCATGTGACAATTCACACAAATAGGCTACTCACAACTACTATTTACACAGTGAAGCCACTTTTCCAAGCCTCTCGAGTTGTAGATTTGAATTTAAATGAGGGCCCGGACTCTTAAATGCGTTCTTCAGCAACATCAATGCGCGTCTGCGCGCTTTGTTGTGCCTCCTGATGACACTCGTTTTGGCCTCGGAAGCACTGTCCACATACCACTGTCTAGGTCTGCTGCTTCTAATCTGCCTGAGATTCCCGAGCATGAAACAGGCTGACAACCGCAAACCAGATTTGAGCCGGCCGATTCAACATTGTTCACTCAAATCCTTTTGGTAAAGTCGAGTGACCCCCAGTGACACAACCGCTGTGATCTCACAAAGAGTGAGTGGAATGACAAATTAGGGAATTATAGCCATATCAATTTTCAGAGAATGCTCCCACAAACCACCATCTAATTTAATCTACGTAATTTCACCAAAATTGACATTTTAGCTGTCCCAAATATTCAAATGAAGAAATTCCCAGATAGTATTTCCCCTATCACTTTTTTTTTCATCAGTGCGGTGTATTCCATAAGGAAACGGTACGGGGCGATGTAACATCATGCAATAGGCTTAGTCTCATCTCATGCACCACAGACTGTATTACTGAAACCGCATTCATATATACACGTTAGTGTAGGCTTTACAAAACAGTAATAGGCTATTTGTGCTGTTAATAAATCACAGATAACGTGTTCATGATCCCTGACATGATTATTGTTTTGTACGTAAGAGCCCTGCACCTGCTCACGCATGCCCCCAACTGTTGCCTCCATACCTGCTTTGACGGAGCAGTGGATGTGAGCTTTGGACTCGTAGTAAACCCAGTCGAAACCCGCTTCTACGGCGAGTCTGGACAGCGTGCCGTACTTGCTCTTGTCGCGGTCGGACGTAGTGATGTCCACCGCTCTGCCCTCGTAGTGAAGAGACTCTTCAAAGTGGTGTCCGTCCTCGTCCCAGCCCTCCGTAACCCGCAGCTTTACGCCGGGCCACTGGTTCATGACTGAGATGGCCAACGAGTTTAGCTTGTCCTTACATCTCTGTAAAAGGACATAGGACACGCTGATTAATGCACGGCTCTCAAGGCAAAAGTTCACAGTGCGCTTTAAATTAGGTAAATGAATGTAAGTTTCCCAAAAAGAAAATTTCACTGTTAAAATCGATGTGCACACCTGTGATAGTACATGAATGTGAAGAGACTGGCGGATCCTATCTGCTGTGAGCTTGCATTTCTCGGCAGCGTCAGAGGGCACGTCTCTCTGAAATATTGATAAGGCACTGCATTCGCTTCACTGGCCTATAACATACAGTATGGCTGCTTGCGCATGAAAAGGTGCGAGCTGTGTCCTCTCCTTCTCAACGCCACGGCGTTAAAGACTCTATGATAAATTTATGGGCTAGTATTAGGCCATGAAATGAACCGGTGCGTTTGGTTTTGTTTACTCTGAGTAAATAATTCATATGCAGATGATATGAATATCTGGTCTTAAGAGCATTCTTGCCCACAAAAATGGGGATACTTTGCCATCTCAAAGACAACTATTTTAACACTGGAGGAATATGTCCGATGAGACCTGACAAAGAGGCTTTTGAGCGCCCCACAGAGGAAAACTTTTATTCTGCGGCAAAGACGTGACGCGCCTCCATAAATCGTGTTGCTTCAAAAGCTGACGGGAAATGTCCTAGACTAGGCACAGAATGCCACTGTCCTGTGTGCATAAGAATGTCCTGGAGGCAAAATGTTTACAAACTTAACAGAATACTTCTATGGAGAAGGTACTTGTGGAGAGAGGTGAACGAAGCTGAGACCATAACTTGCCAGGTTTTAAGTGGGATAGCCGGAGTCAAGAGCCGTGGAGCTTGAACCGTTTTATTAATTCATTTGGTCGTGTGCCGCTAATCAAGCCAAATTCTGCTCAACCACCGTGAAGCGCAGCGGGATGTCCTGGCTCTGGTGGCTTTGTGCTCGGCCTAAAGTTGTTCAACAGCTACCCTGCTAATCTGTTCACAAATGAGTTGGTTAGAGGAAACACTTATCAGCTACCTGTCACTGTCAAGACAAACACGCTGCCAGCTCACACGAGTTTCACATGAGTGGGCCACATTAAAGTGACCTGCAATCCGCCACCAACCTTACAGCCCAGATTCACCCTCCAGCACACACTCTCAACGCTACTGCACGTTTTCCCAACAAGAGAAACCGTTTATATGGGACACACATTAAAAAATCTAAAAAAATAAAAATAAAGAAGAAGAAGAAGAAGAAGAAGAGGGAAAAAAGAAACAGAAAAGTTAATTGGGCATATATTCTCAAATGAACTATTTGCGCCCTCCTTATTAATCCCTAGGCTCAGTGAAAAAAATCTTATCACCCAAAAAGATAATAGGCTATAGCCTACTCGTAAATCTCTATAAGTTACAAGTTCAACAGCATAAATTACAAATAAAATGTTGCACCAAATCCGCGCGTAAAAACCGTGCGTAAAACGCTCTGCTCCATGCGTAAAGACGTGGCCGTGACTGTCCACATGTGATAATGCTTATGCAACTAACAGAAAAGTGTAGCCGTCACTCTGGTGCTAACTTAATTACTCATCATCTGATGTGTATTCTCATATTATTTCTTTGGATAGGCGCAAAATCATCAGCGTTACCGAAACTGATGGACTCCGCTGGCCAAGGGGGGCGAGGGGTCAGAAGTTCAAACTGCGTCGAGATCCCTGCAGTGAGGGTTGCCTAAAAGCCCTTTCATGTACAATCCACACTCGGCCTGGTTGCTACATCCGCGGATGCTTGATGGGAAACAAGTGCAAGTACTGCAAACGACCAAAAGGATTCAAACCGAGCGGAGCCTGCGCTGAACACTAATTTAGCAGGTGCAGATGTGAAACCAAAGGACCCATCCTCAATGTTTTTAGAATGCTGAATTCTTGTGCTCCTGCCTTAAAGGAACTGTAGTTCTCTGCCCCTATCGCTGAATGGGGAGATAGGACTCTGAGGGACGCAGACGTCGCACACACAGTGAATATTTCATCGGCGCTTGGTGCCAGGTTCAGGGTTTCCTGAGCGCACCTTTACCACCACAAAGCCATACCATACCAGCAGCATCCAGCTGAAACATTTTATTCTTACTGAGCCAATATCACCCAAGCGCGTGAATAATTCACCAACATCTGAGTGCTAAAAGTCATGCTGGAGAGACATCCTGCAGCCATCTCTCTGTGCACAACGATGCTGCCTTAAAAGCAGCTGGTATAGAATTTCACAGAAATGCCATAAGAAAAAGCATAAGAAATGGATCACACCTAGGCTTCACTAAAAGCTGCTTTAATCAATAAATGCTGCAGCGCAACACAGCAAGCAAACAGCCTCACAACGATACAAATATAGATACGCAGAGAGGCTCCATTAATATTTTAAATCTACTGTCACAACCATGAAGGCCGAGTGTCCTGACTGTCCGTGTGCACATCACTTCTCCAGCTCCATTTCTGCTCCCAGATTGAGGGGGAAAATCCTATGGTGCTTTTCAAAGGCAATGAGCACAGTTGAGCTTTAGGTGCGCACCACAGTGACAAGGAGCAGAGGGAGCGATGGGGAAGCAGTGATGTAGCCGCGTGATGCCTTACCTGGGTCATGAGCCTGTCTGCACCGGTGTTCTCTTCATCCTTGAAAATGATGTCTGTGTTATAGTTGGGAGTCAGTTCTTTAAAGCGCTCGGAGTTTCTCGTGATCTTGCCTTCGTATCTCCCGCTCGCCCCGAGGGTCTTCTCCGCCACGTTGGGGATGAACTGCTTGTAGGCGAGAGGTGTCAGCTTTTTCGGGTGTCTTCTCCTGCCGTAGCCCCTGCCGGGTCCGCATCCCATGGCAGAGGACACCAAGGACAAGCAGAAGACACCAACCAATACGAGTCTGCTCCACATAAGCATGTTTTTATAAAGATCTCAAAATAAGTCGCCGCTGCTACGTGTGCCGTGGGTATATGTGCCTCTCCCGGCTCGCGCAAATGCCCTTGTCTCCTCCTCTACTTCGCCTGCTCCTGGTCTGTACTGTGGCAGGTGCGGAAATGAACGCTTAGAAGCGACGCTAATAGAGGTGCACACATCGAATGGAGGTTTCAAAAAAGTAGTCTAGGGAAATTAAAAGCCAAGGGATCTCTGGTCGAGCTGCAGCCGCTTGTGTGAGACGACCGCTTTTAGTGCTTTGTATTATAGCACTGATCTATAGCAGGGGAGGGACTTGATTGGTTCGCTTAGACAAACCCTCCTGTTATCCCACAAAAAAAAAAAAAAAAAAAAAATCTTAAAAGATTTCTTCCACCTGAGGGTTGCAAAGGGGAGGGGCTGTTCCATGGGAAAACATCAATTATACACAGTAGATTTTTTTTCTACCGCTACCTACCCTTTTTCAGATTACACAGTAAAGTCAGGACATAGAGGAGAACAGCGCACAGCTCCATCCAAGGCGCTCAACTTAGCTAAAGTGATTCCAATCTGGGATAACGCTGCCGCTGAGGGCATTTCCCAGGAGAAGTAGACAGCTCATGATTGCGCACGCCCTGTACTGATTCTTATACATCAACGCTAGAATCCCTTTTTGTGACTGTGCATATTGAGCAGGGGAAAAGCCATAAAATGAACCATCAGATTAAAATAGACAAATAAAAAAATAAAATTAAATAAATTACACAGTGCGTACTTTTGTGCATCTAGTTTTACGCGTTCACGTTACTCCGATTACATTAAAAAAAAAACGGATGAATCTTGGTTTTTAAACATTTTTTCAACTTTACCACACTGTAATTGATACAGATGGTGCGTAATGCGTATACGTAATGAGGCACCGTAGAGCCATTTTTTTCCCCTCTTGTATTAGAACCTGTTGTTTGTGCGTAAACGGGCACTGAGTTTGTTAAAAGAGAACCCTCAGCTTTTCATAGTCGTAATAACGTAAATGCCCAGGACTGCAATGACATCTGAAGTGAGTGTGTGAACTATAAATAAATACTAACAAATTTTATTGTATTACTCTTTGAGGTCTACCACAGATATTAAAGTGACCAAAAATGGAACAATCCAAATCCGTGGAAGAGTAATAGCAATAACCACTTTGCCAATTCATGTGTTGTGTGTATAATGCAAATCATGCAAAATTAGACAACATTCCCATTACATTACATCACCTGCAACAGAAGTTGTGGCTGTACACCTATCAACAAACTAACAACTCTTTTGAATAATCATATTTCACTCACCATACACTTAAATATTTCTTTGACTGGGTCTAATTAGGTTCAACTAAGCATGGTGTTGATTGCCAACTGGCCCACTTTGTACACCCACTAAGCCTCAAACAAGAGCTTGTCTGAGATGTTTGAGAATGGCAACTTTATTTGTTGGATAACAAAGGACGTGCCGTATAATTACAGGAAGAGGGGGTGCCTGCTGACAGTGTGGTACAGGTGCACTGGAGTGAAGAAGTCTCAGCCTTTTGGTGTGGCTCTGCTCCTATTAAGGTTCACCCTGACTGACAGTTTGTGTAGTGTTCAATGTGTGGAACTACTGTAATGGGGCTGGGGAGAGCAAAGAAAAGTCAACCATATTAAATGTTTGAGGATTTGTAAAAGATATGCAAACAGTACTGAAACACTGAAAATCAGAAGATTCACCGCTAAAAGATCTAAACAAAATCCATCTTTAAGGCATAATCAAATCACATGCTACATAAAAAATCTTTGCATAAGAGAATGAAATGTAACACTGGTTATGGTTTGGATGAGGGAACATTATGAAATGGAGAATAGTTTCAAAAGTATTTCTTATAATGAAAGACCTTTTGTTGAAATCATATAGTATAGAAATATAACCATACATTTAGGTAATCCCTGCAAAACCAGTGATCAAGAAATGAAACTATTTGATAACTGAAATTTGAAACATTTTGTGCCATTGTGATAGATTTCCAAATTTTTTTGCTAAATGTCATAGAGATTCTCCAAATGTTGCTCCGACAGGGTGAGATGTCCTGTTTGGCCTTCAGGTCACATCCCTGGTTCAGGTGTCACCTCTCCCAGGTACCACGCAACACCTCCAGACCACAGCTGACCACAAAGGAGAGAGGGGTTAGCAACTGCTGTCCCCTCCACAATCCACAGTATGCAACCTAAACATCATCACAAGAGCCAACTAAATGTAGCAGGATGAAAAATGCATTGCAATAAAATGTGTGATTAATTGAAGAAGGCGTGTTGATGTGACCAGCAGGATCTGAACTTGGTTCCTCATGTGAAGTACCCAGCCATCTATCACCAGACCCGGGGCAAAGCGCGTTGGCAAACATTACACTAGATTGTTTGGTTTTGGCCTCCTTCAGTGCCAGGTGGGTGGAGATTGACACTCAAGGCAATGGAAATCACAGCAGACAGTTTACACAATTAATCAAAGTGTTGTCAAGTCACTCTAGTGTGGAATTAAATACTTACATGAGCTTATTATTAGCACAATGGATTTTTTGAACTTAACCTAGTGGTGAACATTTAGCACTAATGTAAATACTGCGTGTTAGCGATAGGCAGGAACATTTTTCACTCAAGTTTGTATATATGTAAGTATGTAAGCTCATTTGCATTTGATTATGACAATAATAATTTATTAATCTTTTCACTATTTCAAAGAATCTTGCACACTTGTCATAACTGGCCAATTAACAATCATTAAGTTTTAATAAAAGTGATTATTGAAAGTTGCTTTCGTTATGAAATTACATCCCATATTGTAGATGACAGCTATTTCCTACTACTTTGTGACTCTGATGGATGAGTCTGCACCATCAGTCCAACCTGACCACCATGGTGATGTTTTCATATATCGGAATTGTCAAAATGTCTTTATATATCAGGCAAATAGTTCATACTGATCTATTTAAGTTCAAATAGAAAAGAATAGATAAATTACACTAAAGCGATGTCTCTATATTTACACAATCATCAGAAAAAGTACAACATATAGCCATAGAAATATATTTTGTTTTAATTTTTACAAAAGAAAAACTTAATTTGTATACTTATCTTTGGATTTTAAAATATTGATATTGGTATCAGCAAATTTCAGTTATCAGCCACAACAGCAACGCAAATATTGGATATTCGTATCGGTGGAAAAAATGTACCATCTGTTGTTTTGTTTTCTATGAGTGATGTGAGTTTACTACATTTTTAAATCCACATTTACAGATCTAAATATCCAATAGTTTCCAGTTGTTTTTTTAATTTTACATAAAGCTTTTCTATTCCTGCCCCCTTTTGCATATGACGCAGCACAACAGAAGCAGATTTGATGAAATAATTCTGGAGGGATTGGGGGCATTGCACAATTCATATTCTAGTTAGCCTGTTGCATGTGATGGCTAATCCGGTGCGAGGCGTGAAAGCGGCCAGTGAGTCATCCGTTTCGTGGTCTTTTACATATCCTTTTCAAATTTAGGGACCACTAGTGCTTGCTTTTGTAAATCTCCAAAACATAAACCACTTTGTTTGAACACTGTCTGACTCCTGACCATTAAAGATATGAAATAATACTGTTTGTTGACTATCAGACTGATTCCACGCCCACGTTAGATTTCTTTATTCAGTCCTGAATCGTGCGCAGTGAGATGCAACTATAAGTGCTGGAGTTTTCCGAGCTAAGTCCCCCCAATTACTGCGTTAATGCCTCCTCCTGTCTGAAAGTTTTGTAACATTGTTAGACGGATTAGGTCTACAGAATAATCACGCACAAACATATAAGTAGTGTCAGGCTTTCTTGGTTGTTTTCCCTTGCTGCAAATAGGGTTTCCCACAAGCCATTGAGATTTTTTTTCTTACAGGTGGGGTCTGTATTGAAACTTTTATCCTGGCAAACACGTTTATAGCACGGACATGTTGCCTTCTGATCCGTGCCCAAGTGTCCCCTTTTTGTTCTTGTAATGTAGTTTGAACAACCTGTCTTTAAATGGTTATCTCAGCTGCACGCATACAAGCTTTATGCTCATACAGAATAAGACAGGACACATTCAGGTGCCCTGAGGCCCTTTTCTGTCAAGCACAATGGCAATTTCACAATACAGTATACAGTGGAATCACAGCCCTCAGCGTGCCCCGGAGTCTCTAAAGGCATTTTATTTGCACTCTTCAGCCGCTCCCAATACTTAAACATTAAACGCTGAGGCTAGACAGGCAAAACCACCGCGGAGTGCACAGGCGGTGGGAGGGGCTGAGGAGGAAGGAGGTGAATGAGTGGTGAGAGAGAAGGCTGGGTGGGTGGGGGGACAAAGATACAGGTGATTCAGAGCTGGTCACTGGGAACACCATCATAGTCTGGGTCATGGAAAAGGGATTGGTTCAGGTCAACTGACAAGCAGCATATTACAAAACACATTCATTCAGCTTTTAAATGCTTCATTATCTTTGAACAGTGAGAGCAGTGAGGTAAGGTGGCCTTCAGTGTGGAATGGTGGTGGAAGTACTAAGCTCATATAAGAAGAAAGTAGCAGCAATGATAGACTGGACTGTGAAAGCCCAACTAACAACACTGGATGTTAACCTGACTCATTAGATGTACATTTGAAAGGGCATGTACTGATTGGGATGAACTGTAATTTCTCTGCTTGCTCTGATGCTTCACCCAATTACCATGAAGTATTCATCTGACTTTTTCCCTAATCCTGATTTCAATGGGAGTCAACCTGACAGAGAATGTAAAGAACTCAAATCAAGAACCTTTTCTATAATAATCTCAATTAGAAGTGATTTTTTTCAGGCTTAGTTGAAAACCATATATATGATATACAGTCTATGGTGAAAACAAACTTTACTGTCTTGTGACCTTTTCATTTGAGACACACCAGTTTCAACAGCAGTTCAATGGTATCTGTACACAATGACTCAAAAACA